AAGAAAGAAAGAAAGAAAGAAAGAAAGAAAGAAAGAAAGAAAGAAAAGAACTGAGGCTAAGATAACAATATAAAGAAACTTTTCAACAATCTAAATAACTCAGCTTTAGAGGAAAAAAAGTGGAACAAGTGTGATTCATTCTTGGTCAACCTATAAGAAACAGGGTTGTTACTTCAAAGGAGAGGCCAGTAGCAGGAGGAGCATTCAGTGTGCAGGTGGGTTAATTGAAACAAGCAGTCCTAACACAATATTCTTCTCCCTTTGGAACAGATGGGCCAGACAGGATTCACTTCACAAAAGGAACCTCCCAGCCCACCCTCCCTCCACCTAGACACATACGTATAGATTCCATTTCCCCTTTCTCTGTCTTCTGATTAGATTTCTAATTGCTGCTACTGCCCTGGGTGAGTTAGATCTGTGAGTCAGACCTCACTAAAAATGTCACACCAGAACGACTGAGAAGCCTCCAAACATACCCTAGCGAAAGGAAAAAGCTGGAACAAAAAAGTTCAGGCAAAAATTCAAAATGAAGATGACAGTGGTCTCTGGACACAGCTCAGGATTTGTACAGAGGTCCCATCTGCTGAAGTGAATCTGTTGGAGTCAGAGAAGAGTGGGATGGCTACCAGGGAGGGTGGAATGATGAGGCCAATGATGACGGTCCCTGGGCTCTCCCTACCCCCACATGAACCTGGAAAGTCGTTTCTACAGACCTCCCTTCCTTCTGACTCCAGGGGCTGTTGGTGGAAAGAACCAAAGTTGGAAGAAAGTTGAGAGAAGTTGGAGCGAAAGGGAAGTGCAGATTTGGGCCTTACCCTGGCGGCTCTGGATGAGTAGGGGTCCTCAAAGAGGGCCCACATGCGGGGCTGCAGCCTCCTCCAGCGGCCAGACTTGCCATCAGGCCCTCCCAGCCCTGTAGCATCCTCGATGCCCAGCCTCTTGGTCGCTAGGTCCTCGTCGTCGCCAGGGTCACCCCCGATGAGATCCGGAGTCTCGAAGATGTCCAACGCCTCCTCCGCATCCCGGTGCTGCCGGTAGGTCATCCAGCAGCAAGGCTCCACGTCGGTCTCGTCGATGCCCCAGAAGGCCAGCTCCTCTTCGAAGAGCGGCCCGCACACATCTGCGGGGCAGTGCAGTTTGCCAGTGCGGTAGTAGTTGAGCACATAGGCAAAGACTCCAGGGTGGCGGTCGAAGAAGAATTCGCGGCCGCCACCAGGGTGGTCGCTGCCACCGTGGGAACTGCAGTTGCCCGCGCCACCCTCGAAGCAGCCGCCGGGGCCAGGGGACAACGGAGGCGGTCGCGGCGGCGGCGAAAGGGGAGGGGGCAGCGGCTGCAGCTTGTCGCCAGCAGCAGTCAGGCAGTCACCCTGGGGTTCAGAGGCAGCGAGAAGGGCCAGGCGCGTCCCGGGAAGGGTCTTGAGAGTGCTGCGGTATGTTTCATGCCGGGTGCCCCCGACATTGAGGATCACCCTCTCGTTGTTCTCGATCTTGCCCATCTCTGTGACTCAGACATGACTGGGGAGACAACACAACACAAAAGTTAAAGATCTTGCTGGTCAGACACTCACCATGACCCCCCACTCCCACCCTAACCCAAGTGTCCCAAGATGCAAGTGGCGAAGGACCCTCCCAGGAGCTGCCAGCATCCTATCCTGTCCCCGCCTCTTGCATCACGCCTTGCCCAGGATTCCAGAGAACTAAGCAGTTCAAGTCTTCCTCGACCTTCCACAAAACCTTTTCCCCTGCCTCACACCTTCCTCCCCTGGCTCGGATCTCTCCTATTTCTTTTCTACTTCATTCTCTCTCCCTTCTGTCCCTGTCATGTCTAATCTGGTTTTAGTTCCCAAGCCCCTTTTTCCTTCCTCAACCCCTCCACCTTTCTCCTTCCCAAGCCCTCTCTCTCCCTGCCTTCGCTTGCTCCATTCTCTTCCCATCCCTAAAGGTCCCCTTTCCCACTCTCACACAGAACCTGTCTCCCCTCGCCTGGTCTTAATGAATTCCCTAACAGAGAGTTATTTTTGCCAAGGCAACTTGGTGCTGAGTGGGGGTCCTTCGGACCCGCCGGAGCCTCTGCCGCCTGCATACCCTTTGCCAACCCCTGGACCAACAGCTCTCTGCTGCCCAGAGCTCAGGGAATGCCCTTTGGGCGACCCGTTCCAGGTTCACCTTGCCTCTCCCTCACCAACAAGGCAGAAAGGCTGAAAGCAGAAGTCAGAACAACAACAACAAATTTCCCTGCTGTTGTCTTTTACCAAGGAGACCTCTGACTAATTTCCTCATCCAATTTCCTTTTCACATTATTGTTATCATTGTTGTTAATGTTATTATTACTTGGGAGAGGAAACGACTAACTAGGATCCATCTTTGAGAATAGAAGTGAGCAATCTATTCCACCCATCCCCCTTCCCAAGAAAAACAACGTCTTGGGGTGGAGAGTTGGGGGTGGCTTTCTAAGAGGGGCGAGGCCCAGAAGAAGCCCGCAGGAGGCACGCCCCCTGGCTCCCTGAGCTGAAAGACTAGTGTCAGTGTCCAGTTTCCAGCCTCTCCCCAGGTCTCCACATTCTTAAGGCAAAAGGCGAGGGGGACGCCTGCCTGCACCGCTTCCATGCCCTTCCCTTTCTCCCCTTGTCCCCGGATACCTTAAGGAGACCGAGAGAAAAGTGGATCTGTTTCGGTTTCGGAGTGGACAAGGCTCTCCCGGCAGTCAGACCAAGTCTTGCCGGCGAGCTGAGCCGCCCTTCTCCGCGGAGAAACTACTTGTTGGCGTTTTCCCGGTTCAGGTGGTTGGGCTGCTTCCCTGGGCGCTGAGGTCCAGGAGACAGTCTCCTCCCGCTGCCCGCTGAGCTCCCCGCCTTCATGCTGCGATCTGCAAGCTCTCCCATCGCCACCCTCCGCGCCCAGAGTCACCATCGCGCGGGGTTGGGCAAACCATGGAGCTTGGGGCGGGTCCAGCTGGCGCTGCCCGACCCCGCCGCCAACCCACAGATCGGCTGGCGCTGCCAGGAGCGGAGGTTGGCCGGAGGGCAGAGGAGCTCACCCAGTTGAAGGTGAAGGCACCCAGCTTGGACTGAGATCCGCAGATTTGATCCTTTACCCAATCCCCGCCCTGGAGCAGCCTGTGCTGGAGCTGTCCCTTCAGCACCACTCGCCTGCAGGCTCCTGCCTCCACCCTGAGCACCCAGATCCAGTAAGAGCAGGTGGGTGGGTCTGGGGAAGCTAGGATGTACCAACCAGGTTCAGATGTTTTTGCCCATGCTGCTCTGTCCTCATCTTCTTTCGAGCTTCTGCCTGCCTTATCTACACATCCTGTCTCTCCTCAGTGCCCCACCCCTCCCAACAAGTGAGAGAATCTAAAGCCAATTGCATCTTTTCCTTAATGACAGCTGACAAGATAGGTCTGCTTACAGGTGACAGTGAATCTTGTTTCCCGTGTCATATACATGGCTCTACTTTGTTCTTTTCACTCAAATGTAGGTCTCCAGCCACCACATCATGGTTACATAAAATCAAAAGTTTTAAAAGTTTATCCCAGGAACATAATGCTCCATCAAGTATAAGTTCAGCTTTTTTTTTGTCAGAACACCCAAGTAACAAGGTAATTGTCTCATCAGCCAATTCTTTCTTTGTTCATTTTAATTTGGACCTTGTTTTATTTTACTGGTGCTGACTTGACTAAGCACCATAAATTCCAAGGCTTATCCAGAAGAAAAGTATTTTCCTATAGCTTTGGAATGCTAGGTTGGTCTTTTTTAAGACAGGCTCTCTCTGTAAGCACAGTTGGCTTGGAACTCACTATGTACACCAGGCTGGCCTTGATTTCACAGAGATCTGCCTGCCTCTACCTCCTGAGTACTGGTATTGAAGGTGTATGCTACCATACCTGATTATAGGTTGGTCCTATTGAAGGACCCAAGGAAAAAGCAGTGTTCCACGCAGCTCTCATCAGCTTGCAGGTGGCTGTCTTCTCCCTGCTTCTCTTCACATCATTTTCTTTCTGTGTGCACATTATCTGTTTCCAAATCCCCCCCTTTTGTAAAACCATCAGTCATATTAGACTGAAGTCCAAGATAATGGCCTCATCTTAACTTGATCACCTCTATAAAGACCCTGTCTGTAAGTAAAATCTCACTCTAGGTACTGGACATTGGGCTCCAACAGATCTTCTTGGGAAAGGCATGATACAACCTACTCTGGGTCTCATCATCAAACAGAGTAAGTTCTGTGTGTCTGTGTATCTGTGTGTATATCCCAAGAAAAAAGAAAGAGAGAGAGAGAGAGAGGAGGATGAGGAGGGTGAGGACGAGGAGGAAGAGGAGGAAGAGGGGGAGGAGGAGGAGAAGGAGGAGGAGGAGGACGAGGAGGACGAGGAGGAAATAATGAAGAAGAGCCCTACTCCACAATTCCATGCACATGATTTGTTAGAATTAAAGAGGTAGGGAAAGCACCAAAATGAAAGTGAAAGGAGGAAGGATGTGTCTTTGAAAAGCAAATATTGATGTTGATGGTATTTTTTGCAAATAGCAAGTTAGTTATGAGTTACTAATATGAATAAGAAAGTTTTAGGAACATAGAGGACTGTAAGGTGGATAGTGAAATAACATCAATTCACCAAATAAGACAGTTATTTGTTAGGACATGTTAAATAATTAATAATTAAATAACTAAAAGTTTTTGAAAGGTCAATGATATTTAGAAGAAAAATGAGAAAAATATCATATATAGTAATAAAATCACTGATAATTTGATAAAATATGTAATGGCAAAGTGTGAATGTAAATGTAGACTCAGAATTTCAGTTATTAATATACTATAATGTATAATATATGATATAAAGATCATAATGGGAATGGTTTTAATTTTGCATGATTTCCAACCACTGATGAATTTCTTTAAAAAAAATAGTAAACTTCAGCTGCCAGAAAAATCACTAAGAAAAACAATATCCAAATTCCAAAATTCATTCTCCTATTTCTTGTCTAGTTCCTTATATTATTTAGTGTTGTAAATTCAATATGGAAAAGAAGCACAGCGTTAATCTTAAGATAAAATAGCAATAGTAATAGTAGTAACTTAAGCACTTCTAGGAACAGATAACATTTACTGAGAGTATAGTTGTAAAATATTTTGCTTAAATTGCATCTTTTAATTAAAATGAAAGAAATATTCATATAATATAACAAGGCTACAAATCAGGTAACTCATATAGACAACAGAAATCACCATGAAAGACTTTAGTTTCATAAGATTAGCTGTATTCTGGGGCATATATGAAAGAAACCAAAAAGCAAAGATAAAATAATGAAAATGACTTATAGGGAGAAAAATGAAGAACAAAATTCTACTGCATTGATAAGGTATGAGGCTATATGAGCAATGTTGAAGTAATCACAGTGACAGGAGGATTATCTTTTGGAATTTTCTTATGATCTATAAAGGATCAGATTTGAAATTAGAGTATATGACAGAAAAATTTGAAAATAAGCATGTGGGCGAAAAAAGGATGAGATATATGACAAGGAGAATTGATACACAAAGTAATGAATGAGTCTTTTTTGTTTCCTTGTCAATAGAAGATCCTAATAGAAATTTCTGGGCTTCATTATATAAGACAGCAGAGAATAGAAAAACTCCTCCACTCCTCCACTGATCTTGATGTAGAATTCAGAAAAAAAAAAATTGAAAAGAAAGCAAACCATTAAAAGATCGTGATGAAAAACAGAGGAAGAACAAAACAGTTGTGGTTTCCTTTGTGACTGATGTGGAGCAAAGATAGTAAACTTTGCAGGGGAGCAGCTAAAATGTTGCTTCCTTTGTGTTCTGTACTTAACATCACAGTAGGCTGGAGAAAGCAAACATTACATCATCAACAGAACTGTCGACCTCATGAAAGGACACAGTATACCTGGAGTGCTGGTTCATGCCTGGAGTGCCAGCACTAAGGCTAAAGGAGTGTCACTGGGAGTTCAAGGTACCTGTCTGGCTACACTGTGAACTTCAGAACTAGAGTCTGAATCAGTTAGATCCTGTCAAAGATAAAATGAGGCAAAATAAAAAGGAAACTAAAGTGAAAACGAATGAAAAGAAACAGTATGACTCAGAATGACATACATTAAAAGTTTAATTCTGAACAAATTAAATCATTTAAACTCTAAGAATTTTTTAAATGCTCACCTGGGACAGGGCAGATGGGCCCAGTGGTTAAGAGCACTTGCTGCTCTTGCAAAGGCCGAGGGTTCAGATGCCAGCACCCATATGGCAGCTTGCAACCATCTTTAACTCCTGTTTCAGGGGATCTAATGTCTTCTTCTGACTTCCAAGAGTTCCTACAGGCATGCAGTGCACATTCATACACTCAGGCACACACACACAAACACACACACACACACACAAAATAAATGAACAAATAAATATTTAAATAAATAATGCTCACCATTACGAGGTAACATATTTATAAACAAATTTCCTCTCCAGTAGATGAAAAGCAACTCATTTCCCAACAGGTATGTATGCTCCTTGTGCAGCGCCCAAAGCCAGCTCAATTAGTGGACAGTCTACATAAATTTAAGGAAAGTGAAGCTCAAGAGTCCTTGTAATAAATGTGCACTTTTCTTAATGTTCATCTAAAATACACACTTTAACCATCTTTGAATGACCTACTTTGTTGACTTAATCCATTCTATGTGCCTTAGCAGGGAATCTGAGACAAATTAATTTGTAGTGAATGGAAATTGAATCGTTCACAGTTGAGGATGCTGAGAAATCCAGTATGAAGGTTCTGGAAACTCAAAAGAATCTCCATACTGTTTTCTCACATGGCATAAAAACAGAAGAGACAGAAAACTCACTTCCCACTGTGCTTTTGTAACAGGATGACTCTATCCTGACTTAAGTTTGAAAGTGTTTCACCTTCCAACACTGATAAACTTGGGATCAAACTCTCAATAGACTGGCTTAGAAGGACACCTTCAGACCATAACATTTATGCCAAGTGCTTATGGTCCTACACAAGCTATGATGTTTGCAAGATTATGATATCGGCTTCACTGAGATGAATCCATAGACCACTGATTTTAGAACTTGGCAGTTTGACTTGTACTTAACACATGTGGCAGTGGTTCTTAAGGACCAGGGAAATTATATGCATAGTGATCACAGCAATTTGAACTCACTGCATACTTGAAAATATGCAAGTGTTCTGAGGAAAGGCATTTTAGGCTAAAGAAGGAAAATTTCCCACGTATGTAAGATAGTATTCACTAAGCATTTAAGAGGAGTTTAGCCTTAGCTTCTTTTGAGAGAACATTCTGAATCATTGTCTGTCTTCTACAGCAACCAACCATTCATTTAAAGCAGATGAAAGTGGGCTAGGGGGAAGGCTCAGTCCACAAAGTACTTACCATACAGGCATGAAACCCTGAGTTTGGATCCCCAACACTAACATTAAAAAGCCAGGCATCTCAGGGCATGCCTGGAATCTTAGCACTGAGCAGGCAGAAACAAGAGGATCCTTGGGTCTCAGTGGCCAGCCAATCTAGACAAGCAATGATCTCCAGGTTCGGTGAGAGAGTCTGTTTGTAACAGCATGCACAAGTTCTTTGCAAGTTCAAATTAGACAAAATCCTGGCACAGACGTTGGGAAGTAGGTAAGAAATCCCAACCTAACGTAAGGAACTTGTGGCAATTGATAGCTACTGGGAAGGGGAAAGGCAGTGTCTTACCAAGATGGGACTCTTGGTGTGCCAGTGGATGGATCCACACTGAAAGACATTAGGGAAAACAAATTATACTCTACTGATCATATTATATATATATGAGAGTTCATTAAATTGAGCAGGGGGCAGTGGGGGATAGGTGCAGAGAGGGGAGTGGATCTAAATGCTATCAAACTATATTATATAAAAATTCAATTAAAAATTCAAAAGAATACAGTAAATAAGTGATCAAGGAAGATACCTACTGTTGACCTCTGGCCTATGTAAGAGCACATATACACACACTTGTGCATGTGCTCATGCATACACACACACACACGTGCATACACACATGCACACGTGCATACACACATGTACATATACATAAATAATGAGTAAATAAAATAGATGCAAGTTATATAGACAGATCATGATGATGAAGAATATAGGTAGATAGATAGATGTTAGAAGATGTTAGATAGAAGATAGATGATAGATAGATAGATAGATAGATAGATAGATAGATAGATAGATGAGATAGATAGATGAGATA